AGCATGATTTTGGTTAGCAATATTTTCGTCGATGTCTGTACCTTTACTCGTAATTAAGGTGCACATTTTTCGCATTATATCATTGTCTATTGCAAGAAAACAGAAAAAGTAGGTTCGAATTACAGACATGAGTAAAAACTAGTAAACAAGATGACACTACTCGTACCCGTACACCGAAACCGGGCTATCTTAAACTCACTTTTACTGGACATTTTGTCCGGTCAAATAACAACTCGTTCGCTTCAAAAGAAAATGTAATTTCATAGAATTTCGTAAACTATGTGTTTACCCCACTGGTTTGCCGACTGAGATTATTCTGAAATGCAAGAATAACAAATAAGCACGCGTCCAACCTTCATAAGCACACACCCAACCCTCAAACCATGCAACCAATGATGATTGGTCGCTATTCATTTAAATATATGAATTTCTTTTATAACAACGAACGTGCATGTTAACAAATCAAAACATTTGTTCTACACAAGTCAGGGGTGGGCAGTGGTACTTCTTTTGGTGGAACTTATTTTCTCATTCGCAATTTCAAACGCAAAAGTTGAAAGGCTGTTCTTCTTGATGAATCGTGTGAAAACAGATTCCCAGGCAGCGCTTAGCACGAATGCTCAACAATGTCACAAGAATCCGCAAAGGAAGGTCCATCATTTGAACAGTTTGACCTCACGGCTGCAATTGACTTATGGGCAACAACTACAACGAGCAGTTCAAATCAGAGGGAAAGGAAGGTATACAAAAAATGGAGTCGGCGAAAGGTATTGATCGATGGTTTTTCGACGGATGAAAGTTCAGACGCTGGAAGCGAGGTCGAGGAAGAATTTTGAAACAGGAGATAAACTTAAGCTCGTATTATAAACTGGATGCTGTTTGATTATTTTCGACTTTGGTCAAACAGTAGACCGGGTATTTGTAACTAAAGTCTCAATATCTGCTCGTAAGGACTAACGCATGCATATACCATGGCATAATTTCATAAAACTTTGACCGCTCTTATATGCATCAAAGTCAAAGGCTGAAAAAGTTGCTATCCATTGGATAACACTACAATAACTAATTGCTATCCCAGTGAGTATCTTTAGTGCATGAACTTTCTACGTATTCACAAGTTCATCGTATAAACAAAAAATGTTAATTAATATTCGCGCTGAAAAGTACAGTAAGCAACTTTTACTGAACAAAAACGCAATTGCCATTAAGGACATGGATTGAGTTGGTTTTTTTGGCGAAGAATTTGGGTGTGTTACGTATATTTTAACTTGTATAGCTAATAACTAAACATCATACATTGTGACTCAGGATCCGAACGTCATTATTAAAAGGGTTAACAGGCAAATATTTGTCCGGCCAAAATTGAGAGTGTCCGAGCAAAAACACATTTGACCGGACAATGACAATGTGTCCGTCGCATTGCCTTTCGTTATTTCGAGCCCTGCAATGTGTTTCCCGATAGTCATAACCGATAATCGTAACTACAGTTCACGAAAATCATGATGGTTCACTTGAAAGTATCTCTTCACAAATATCACAGATGAACGTCTTTAAACTTTGTCATGTGTTTGACGATTTTCTGCAGCTGCACTTGAGTAGGCAAAGGATTTTTCACAATAATCACAAAGGTGGTTCGTGATAATCATAGATCTGTTTCACAATAATCACCACCATGGTTCAGGATAATGACAATCATGGTTCACGATAATAATATAATCGTGGTTCACGATAATCATTGATGTGGTTCACGATAATCATAGCCATGGCTCACGATAATCATAAATGACTAAGACTAAGTCCTTTCCCACTTTTCAATATCTCAATTAGAATTGAGAATTATTTTTATTAAATAAAAATACTGTGTGAACAACGAATACATATAACTGTCCTTTTCGAAATCTAATCGTCCGATTAAAAGACAACATAAAATTAAAAAAACAGTGCATAAATATAACCTATAGCACAACTGAACACATCACTTTGGCAAAACCTGTGCTACATAATTCCATCAACAATCTGGATTGGGAACACAGGTTTCACAACTAATTGCCACCATCGTGCGATTTCTTATGCAGTTCTAGGCTGTCTGCGCTTGAAAGTATCCCTTCACAAATGTCACAGATGAACGTCGTTCCTTTTTCATGTGTTCGACGATGTTTTGCAGCTGCACCTGAGTAGGCAAAGGATTTCCCGCAGACACCACAGTTAAAAGGTTTATCGCCTGTGTGTGCTCTTTTATGACGCGTCAGTTGACTCGCAACATAATATGCCTTGTCACACTCGTCGCACTTGAACGATTTTTCTCCAGTATGCGTTCTCTTATGATGCAATAAATCGCCCGATAAGCGAAACGCCTTGGGGCATGCATCGCACGCGTAGGGCTTGTCTCCAGTATGTGTTCTTTTATGACCTATTAGGTGAATAGACTGCGTGAAACCTTTTTCGCACACGTCACATTTGAACGGTTTTTCTCCCGTATGTGTTCTCTTATGACGGGTTAATCCGGACGAACCCGCAAAAAACTTCCCGCAAATATCGCATTTGTGCACCGTATGTGTTCTTCTGTGCATGCGAAGTTCGGCTGCATTTGGAAATTGTTCATTACAAGAGACGCATTCGAAAACGGCCGTATGTGTGATTTTATGACATGCCAAGTCTTTCGAGGAGTGAAATTTCTTGCTGCAGTAATTGCATTTGTGACATTTTTTTTCCTTTTGCGCCACTTTGGCATTCCTTTCCATGTGAGCTTCCAATGCATTAACTGAAGGAAATATCTTGTCACAATCATCACATTTATGCAAACTGGTTTCCGCATGAAGTGTTTTGTGTTCCGAGACTAGCCGCTCATCGTTATCAAGAGAAATATCGCAGATATCACAAGTGTAATATTGCACTGCTGGTCCATGGTTTTCCTGAGAATCAACATACGTTTCAGTCATGTTTGTCATCGAAAAGGCATCCTAAAAATAACGAAAATATTTTAATATATATTTCACCTGTATTTAAATTCGCGTGGTACTAATTTTCGCTCAGTCTTAAATTAGTGCGATTTAACTTCGCGCACTTTTTAATCTCGCGCACCTCGAAAAGGCACAAAAGTAGCAAACCACGCTTAAATGATGGGCTTTTTCGTGTTAGGGCCGTGTAATATATTAAGGTTCATATTAGTATAATTTATGCATATCCCATAATGCTGTACGGGAATAAAAGGATTGTGTTATAACTCGACCACGTTGTTTGTGTTGCTTGTTTTCCTACACTAAAACGAATCTCAGTATACTACATTTGGCGACGAGGATCGGATATATTCTACATGCTCAAAGTTGCGTGAGATACCCTCACAGCACTGGGAAAAGTTTGGAAGTAAGAAATTTATTAAATCTGATAACTGAACATCGAAATGGCAACAGCCGGAGGACTGTTCGGCCATGTTGGCGAGTTTAATTCCGAACGAGAGACATTCAAATCCTATGTGGAAAGAATGGAAATGTTTTTTACGGCAAACAACGTTGTAGAGACACCAGGTGAAGCTAATCAAATTGTCAGTGACAGGGAACGTGCCATTTTTCTAACTGAGATTGGACCGGATGTATATTCCACATTAAGTAATTTATTGGTGCCAGCGAAGCCAAAAGACACGTCTTTGACTAACATAGTTCAAGCACTAGAGAAGCATTTTAACCCAGCACCGTTGGAGATTGCTGAAAGTTTTCATTTTGGGACACGTAGTCAAAAACCTGGTGAGTCAATTGGTGAATATGTAGTGGCATTAAAAAAAACATTCCATTCATTGTATTTTTGGAATTTTTAAATCGAGCATTACGAGATCGGTTTGTATGTGGGCTAAACAACGTCAAGATACAGAACAAACTGTTGAACACCGAAAATACTACGTTTGACAAAGCCTGTTAGATTGCGAAGTCTATGGAGATGGCTGAAAGGAACACGCAAGAGTGTCATCCAACTACTAGTGCCAGTGGTTTTAGTGAAGGGACGGTGAACAAAATAGAAAGCAAGAGAAATGATGAGCAAGCGTGCTACAGGTGTGGCGAAAATCATACTGCAAAAACTTGTAAATTTAAAACAGCAAAATGCTTTAAATGTACAAAAATAGGTCATATAGCGTCAGTGTGTCGTAGTAAAACCAGTAAAGAGGTTAAGCCTGGTTCAATATCCAAACACGGACAAGCAGATAGAGGTAACATTCAAAACTTATCATTGTACGATAGTAATAACAATAATGTCAATGGTGATGAATTAGGTATTTATTCTTAATATTCAGTAGGTTTAGAGAACTTTTCTAGTGAGAGAATTAGTGTAGAACTATCTCTTAATGGGGGTAGTGTGCGACATGGAGATTGACACCGCTGCTGATTTCTCGATAATGAGTAAAAGCATTTATGATCAGAAGTTTAGTCATTTTCCACTTTATCCGTCAGCTACACCGGCGAGACACTTACAGGTAAGTGGTGAGATGAAATGTGAGATTGTGTACCAACATAAGACTTTTAGGTTGCCAATTGTGATAGCTAACTATGTAGGGAAACCCACTCTATTAGGTAAAAATTGGCTTGCCCAGATTAAGTTAGATTGAGGTAGGGTTTTAATTATAAAAACGTCAGAGCAAAGTAATGCCAAGGACCAACTTAATGTGTTACTGTCAAAGTACGAAAACATGTTTGAAGACAGCTATGAAGGAATGAAAGGGTTTGAAGCACATATCACTATGAAAGACGGGGCAAGGCCAGTGTTTGTTAAGCCACGTAAAGTTCCTTATGCACTGAAAGAGGCTGTAGAGGCGGAGTTAGAAAAGCCTGAGAGAAATGGTGTGATAAAAAAACTGAGAGGACAAAGTGGGCAAGTCCAGTAGTAGTTGTACCAAAGGCCGATAAGTCTATAAGGTTGTGTGGAGACTATAAGGTAACAATAAACCAGTCGGTGCAAGACGAGCAGTATCCTCTTCCCACTACACAGGATTTGTATACTATGCTAACAGGATCTAAAGTTTTTAGTAAACTCGATTTATCTCATGCATATGCTCAGCTAAATGTCGATAAAGAGAGTCAAGAGTATCTTACAATAAACACACATAAAGGGTTGTATAGCTACACTAAGTTACCTTATGGGGTTAAATCTGCACCTAAGATATTTCAGTCTAAAATGGATCAGATTCTCCAAGGGATAGAGAAATGTGTGTGTAAGCAGGATGACATTCTTATTGGTGGGAATGACTGGAGAGAATCTGAAGATATTAGGTGAGGTTTTAGAAAGATTATGTCGGCATAATGTACACTTAAAACAATCTAAGTGTGAGTTTCTAAAACCAGAAGTTGTGTACCTAGGTCTTAAAGTTAATGAAAAGGGCTTGCACCCGGTAGAGGAGAAAGTGGACGCTGTTAGGAAGGCCCCTGTGCCATCTAACGTCAGTGAGCTAAGATCTTTCTTGGGTATGGTACAATATTATCATTGATTTCTTCCAAATTTGGCAACAACCTTAGCACCTTTGCATAAGCTTTTAAAAAAAGATGTCCAGTGGAAGTGGACGTCTGAATGTCAAAAAGCTTATGATGCTTGTAAACAAAGTCTTACTAGTGATACCCTGTTAGTACACTACGATTTAAATAGGAAATCAAGACTTGCTTTGTGATGCATCAAGTTACGGACTTGGTGCCGTTGTGAGTCATGTGATGGATGATGGTCAGGAAAGACCAATTGCTTACGCATCTCGCACACTCAGTCAGAATGAGAAAAATTATGCCCAAATTGAGCGTGAGGCGTTGTCGATAGTGTTTGGGGCAAAAAAATTTCACCAGTTTCTGTATGGTCAAAATTTTACATTGATCACAGGTCTGCAATTCCCACACTTCCTTAGGTCTGCAATTCTGCCCTTGGTCTGCAATTCCCACACTTGCTGCTGCAAGGATACAAAGGTGGGCATTGGTACTCTCTGCCTATGATAGAATATAAATCATCTGAAAAACATGCTAATTGTGATGCACTCTCTAGGTTGCCACATCAAAACTCAACTATAGGTAGCGAGAGTGCAATCTACCAGGTAAGTGCGATTGATGATGATTTTCCAATGACTGCAAAATATATTGGTAAGGCAACTAAAGTTGATTCTGTTCTCTGTAAAGTATATTATTATGCTGTGTCAGGTTGGCCTGAGAATTGTCAGGATGAAAATCTGAGACCATATCATAACCGAAAGCTGGAATTATCCTGCGAACAAGATTGTGTTCTTTGGGGCTCCAGAGTGGTTATTCCAGCAGTTTTTAGAGAGAAAATGCTCAATGAATTACATTGGGAACATCCAGGTGTATGTGGAATGAAAGCAATTGCTCGCACCTGTGTTTGGTGGTCCAAGATGGATGAGGATATTGAGAGGGCTGTGAAAGGTTGCACAGTGTGGCAGTCGGTAAGAAATACTCCTCCTCATGCACCACTGATACCATGGAAATGGCCGACCAGACCATTTCAACGTGTTCATATTGATTTCTGTCAAGAAGGTAAGGATTATTTTCTTGTGGTAATTGACAGCCACTCAAAGTGGATCATTGAAGTAAAACATATGACCTCTACTACTACTCAACGTAGTCTTGATGAACTTCGATTGATCTTTACTGTTTATGGTTTGCCAGAGGAGGTAGTGTCCGATAATGGATCTCAATTTACTGCAACTGACTTTGTCGAGTTCATGAATAAAAATGGGATCAAGCACACATTAGTCCCCCCATATCATTCGCAATCAAATGGGGCAGCGGAAAGGTCGTGAGAGTGGTTAAAGAAGCATTAGCCAAACAAGTTATTCAAGGCACCCAAGGCGTGTCTATGAAACATAGACTGGCAAATTTTCTCCTTATAGGTACCGAACCACTCCTCACAGCACCACAGGTGTGTCGCCAGGAGAGTTGATGATGAAGCGCCGTTTGAGAACAAGGTTGAGTTTGGTTAAACCTGATCTAGCACAGGTCGTAGAGGGAAAGCAAGAACAGCAGAAAGTGTATAAAGATGGGAAAGGAAAGAGTGAGAGAACATTTGAGAAAGAGGAAAGAGTGCGCGTGTTAAACACTAGAGCAACGAACAAAACTAACAAATGGATTTTAGGTACAGTAGTTAAGAGTTGTGGGCCGCGGACATATGCAGTAAAATGTGGAAAGAGGATGAGACGTGTGCATCCAGATCATATGATCAAGG